GTTGGAGCACTTTGTAATACCCTCAATGAGTGGAAGTCTAGGCTCCCTAGTTGGCCTTTGTTGGAGTGGGTGGGGCCGCTGTTTTTCTCTATGGTGTTTGGCTAGTGATGAGTGATTATTATCTAATACTTTTCTGTCTTACTAGGTTTCCTCTTTCTCATCCTTTGACTAGAGAGAGCTGACTTGTTGGGGCTTTCTTTTGTCTATCCATTGGTGTTTCCAGTTTGCTGGCTTCTTCAGGCTCTAAAAGGGATATATGAGGCAAGAAGAAAATCCAGGGAATTCTCCACCATGTTGTTCCTTAGGTCTGGAGCTCCACACCTGGTCTGCCTTCTCTCCACCTTTTTCTTCTAATTTTTGTTTTGTATGTTATGTCCAGAATTTTTAGTTGTACTTATCAGGAGGAATAGAAAAAGGTATGTCTACTTATCTTTCCAGAAGTGGAAGTTGCACCTGTTGTAAGTTAACAATCATAGATCGTAGGTAGCATTTTACATTAGTACACGAATTGCAAACTTAATCTTTTGTTTAAATTATACATTGTATTTCATTTTATTAATGTTCCCTACTTTCTTTTAACCAGTCTCCTACTGATGGGCATTTCAGTTGTTTTCAACTTTTGCTGTTACAAACAGTGCTTCAGTGAATAACTTCATATATATATGTATCAGTTTGCAGGTGTCCCAGTATAGCTAAAAGATAGCTTCCTGTCTTATTTTCCATATCTTCTTAGAGAGCTGTGTATTCATTTGATAGTGACTGTCATCTGAAGGAAATCAGATTATTTCATTTTAGACAGATCTGATTGTGAAAAAGTCACTCCTCATATGATGTGTGCTTAGATCTACTTTCCTATAGCTTCATGCATTGATTGTAGTTCTGTGCCAGTGATCAAAATAGGACAAATCCAGCTAGTTCCTCTTTCTTATAACAACTCTTAGATATTAAGAGTTGAGTGTCTTTGTAACATCCATCTTCTGTTCTCCATCCTAAAAAGTGTCATTTTAGCTGTTTTCCTGTGGCATGATTTCCAGATACTCTGAATGAGACCTAGTTTGTTGAAGATGTTTTTTTTACACTTGGGCATCTTAAGGGAGGTGGAATAGTGTAATCCATGTGTGGGCTAATGGTTGCCAATGACAAAAAAATTGACCGAAAAATTTGGGGGACAGCCCTTTCACAGTCTGAGTTATATTGCCAGGGACCATTGTAATGCCTTTCTTGCATTATGGATGAATGGATGCATCTTTAAATCAATGAATTAACAAATACTGAGCTTACTCTTGACTTAAATTTCCAGTTTTGTTCATGCGTACTTCTGCTTCTGATTCTGTGCTTGTATGGTTGATTTGGAGGGCATCAGCAAGACTTTGCATTTGTCCCTGTTAAACTTATATCATCAGAGCTATCTAGTCTTTCAGCATTTTAAGATCATTTTGGATACTAATTCTGTCCTTGCATGGATTGTTTCTCTCTCTCAACACCATGCCATCTGTACTCATCCAATTATTTAAGTGGGATATATTTTGCTCGTATTCATACAAAATATTCATAAGATATTTTTAAAAAGGTAACTTCCTGGTAATAGAGTTGCCGGTCAAAGGGTATGTATATTTTACATTCTGATATGTAATGCTAAGTGGCCTTCCACAGAGATTGATTGCTAGTCTGAATCACCTTGAATGTTGTTTATATGGACAGAACTTCTGCTCCTATGAGATAGAGCCCAAAAGAAGGCACTAGATATAAGTGTACAACCCTGATGTCATCTGAGGGACCTTCTATGTTTTTCCAACAAATTTTCATTTCAAATGATCTAATATATAAGGAAAACATTTATTTTGATCAGTAGTCGTCCCTCATAGAGATCTTTGTGTAGTTGTTATGTACAGTATGTTTGATATCTGTTTTTATAATACTTCAGTTTCTCCAAGTATACTTATATTTTCTCTAGTAGCTTTCTTTGTGGATATTAAACTCTCATTTGGGTCTAAATTAGCTTTTGTGGCTGATGATGTTAAGCAGTACATCAGTTAAGTGATTTTTCTTAATTTAATGGTTCATTCAAATTCACAGACATTTCTTGTGGTTTAATTGTTATTGTTCACTAGTTTATTGTTATGATTTTCAACCTAAGATTCTCCAAGAGATTTTTGTTTTTCTGATTAAATTAACAAGAATGATGAATGAGCTGCTGTTTTTATAAATTTTTATTGAATTATAATTGGTATAGAATATTATATTAGTTTTAGTTGTATAAGATAGTGATTCAGTATTTTTTTATACATTACTAAAAAAAATGATTGCCATGATAGGTCTAGTTACCATCTGTCACCAAATTTATTTTAATATTATTCACTATATTCTCTATGCTGTACATTACATCTCTGCAGTTTTTTTTTTAACATCTGCAAATTTGTACTTCTTTATCCCTTTTACCTATTTTGTCTGCCTACCACCCCCTACCCTTGGCCACTACTAGTTTGTTCTCTGTATCTAGGAGTCTATTTCTTGTTTGTTTTTTTAGGTTCTATGTATAAGTGAAATCATATAGTATTCGCCTTTCTCTATCTGATGTATTTAACTTAGCATAGTACCTTCTAGGTCTATTCATGTTGTTGCATGTGGCAAGATTTCATTCTTTTTTTTAATGATGAGTAATCCTGTATGTGTGTGTGAGTGTGTGTGTATCACATCTTTATCCATTCATCCACTGGTAGACACTTAGGCTGCTTCCAGATCTTGGCTATTGTGGGGATATGTATATACTTTCATCATTTTGAATGTAGTTCTGCTCTGTATATGTAATAGGTACTCTTCATCTGGTTTCTTTTACTCAAGCCAGTGTCCATGTTGTGTATATCAGCATTTGCTCTTTTCTTATTACTATGTACTATTCTGTATGAACAGATTACAGTTTGTTTATTTTGCTGTAGAATGGATTATTTCAGCTTTTGGTTATTCTGAATAAGGCTGCTGTGCACATTTTTGTACATGCCATTTGGTGAACCTGTCATGCTATCTCTCTTAATATCTCTTAAGCAGAATTGTTTTAATTTCACAGAATTGTCTGCTGGATGTATTAATTGTTTACTATTCCATACTGTTCTCACTTTGGCAGCACTTATACTTTCCCATACTTAACCTTTTCTTGTGGTGTGGTGATCTTTTAAAATTCATTCAAGGTAGAAGGCTTTGGTTTTAGATCTTGAACATAGTAGTGACAAAGAAACAAAATGGATATGTCATTGCTGGAGGGCAAGTTAAATGTGGCATGTGACCCATCATCTGCATAGAGTTCTGTAGGAATATCTATTCCTCAAAATTAGCATTTGACATTCCCTCAAAGTCTTTGGCAGAGGATAACCACTGTTTACAACTCCAGTGCTCTCTGCATTCTCAGTCTTTGGAGCCCTCCCCTAATCACCAGCAGAATGGTCACCAGAGGCTTATCCATGTGGCCCCCTGGTACTGCTAGGCTGCCTCAGTTAAGACCATTTGCTGCCTTTGTTATAATCACCACTAACTGCATCGCATATGTAGGCTATAGTATGCATGTGCATATCTTTTTAACATGGACTTACATGTAGCTAGTTACAGTTAATAGTGGGAATTGGTTTTCTTTAGTCAATTTATATGCTATCATTTGAGAACTTTTGCCAGTGACTAAAAAATTTTACCTTCCACAATAGCTGTCATCTATACCTGGAGATACTTGAATAGCAACATCATTAAAGTATTAGTAAATAGCTTAACTATTATATCACTTGGTTGCAATCATGGTTACTTAGTGTAATTTTTTAATTAAAATAATTTTTCATTTGATCATATTCTGACACATTTAAGATATAGTTTAACACTGCAATCTTTTTCCCCTCCAACTGTGATTTATATACATTACCAAGCATGATTTATATATAATTAATTCAGTATTATTTCCTTTTTCTAAAAAAGTAGCCTTTTCCTTGTGTTTAAAATGTAAAAATTTTCCTATTTTTTTCCTTCTGTTCTCAAAAATCCACTGTGGGTGCTATCGTTTTTTGCTGATACACAGCTTTATCAGGTATGATTTCTGAGTGTCATGTTGGACTTTATAGATGTGTTGTTAAAATTTCCAGGGGAAAAACATTCCAGATTGACTTTCCACATTTGCCTGATCAGTATTTGTGAATATCTTATAAAAATTGCTGGCCTTTAAGGTTGAGAGTGGTCTGTGTATTAAAAACAAATTTATTACACCTGTATTCCAAAAAGAAGATTTGAGTGTTTTCTTCAGAAATATTACTCCTTCATTAATCTATGCATAGTTCTCTGCATTTTTCCTGTTTATATGTGTACATGTTTGTATACTTGTCAGTGTTATTCTTAACTTACATGATTTTTAAAAACTGCTACATATTTCTAAATAGATTTTTTTCCAGACTGTGTTCCATGAAATACATTAATCTGAGATGCTTAGGAGAGTGGGACAAAAAATATTATAAAATAAGTTTACTATATCCCTCTTTGAGAGGTTCATAATGCACATTAGCATATTAAAGGATCTGGTATTATGCAGTAAAGAAATTTGTGTACCTTTGTCTATCTCAGCATCTTCTGGAAATATGAGTGTAGAACACTTATAACCCCCTGGGCGTTCTCGGGATACCAATTGGGAAACTATTGCAAAAGGCTGAGTAGAGTATTCTCTGTAGTGTTTTAACACATCAAATAATGCTGACTAAAAGTGATTAAATTTTCAAGAAGTTAAAATACTTAGCTGAATTGTATTAGGGTTGTATTTTCTTGTAGAAATTACATTTTAAAGTACAGCATTGATTTTTTTTTTTCTGGTATACTCTCAATCCTTGGGTTGACCTTTAAAAATTCATAAATCTGTGAAAATGCTGCTTTTTTGTAGGAAAGAGGGTTTTTTTGGTTGTCGTTGTCCTTGTTTGCTCACTTGTTTCTCTTCTATAAGAATTTGCTTTTATCCTTAAAAAATATGTTTACTGTTTCAGATAGCGTGACACAGGAAAGGAGGCCTCCCAAACTTGCCTTTATGTCAAGAGGTGTTGGGGACAAAGGTTCCTCCAGTCATAATAAACCAAAGGCCACAGGTATGGGTCAGTATGTGATATGAGATTTGCCATAGCACTGAAAGAAGGTTGAAAGGCTTTACTCCTTAATGTAGATGTAGGCTCTCTTCTTCCATACAGTTCTAGTATTTTACTTAAAAATTTTTATAGGTGCTCTGACTTAAGTCAAAGAGTTCCCAACCGTTTGCAGTTGATGAAAAGTTTTCTGTAAGGACCTGTGTCTTTTGTTGGTTTGTATCAGCTGGTTTTTGGACAACCCCCCCCCCCCCGAATTGCAACATTTGTATGTAAAGTTTAGAGTTGCAACTGTGCAAAAGAATTGTATCTGGATAATGTTATAGAGGGTTAAGTATATAGAGAGTAATTATGTGGATTTTGCTAACAAAATATGGCACAAGATAAATTCCAAACTGCTAAGCAAAAAATTCTGTCTCTCTTCCAGAAACTCCCTCACAATGCATGTGGAGTTCTTAGCTTTTTTTCTTTAGCTTCTACATATTTCATAGTTTTAACGGATGGTAGTTATACAAGCTAAACAGCTCATTTAAAAAGCTGTAAGAATGTTTGTTAACTCAGATGTGGGTTAGGAGCAGGATATTTTTTCCTCAGTTATCTGGTGAACAAAACTACTTTGGCTCGTTTTAAAGAAAATTGTATTTTAAGAAGTAGTTTATGTGACACTGGACCCTGGGAGATTTAGGATTAAATAGGATACACAAGTAAAAGTTATGTTTTATGTTAACTTATGGATCTAGATAGGGTAGCTCACACTTGTTATTCTCACTTAAATATAAATAGCTTACAGATTTTCTGAAGACATGTACATTACTTGTGTTGTAGCAGATCCTAGTTATAAGCATAAAATATAGAACTATCTACTTTAAATTGGAAAAATAAATCAGATTTTGTATGGGTTCTAGAAACCCCCTGTTCTCACCTACATTGTGTCTTCTTAAGTACTGAGGCAGGGTAAGGTCTAGAAATGTCTGTGACAGGGCTACACTAATTCTTTCTTACTTTAATAAGTCTAATGTAAAAAATAATAATACTGCTTCATGTTTTAAAAGACATGAAACGAAGCAAGAAATTTGATGACCAAGAATTCCAAACTCTTCAAATTTTTTAAACTTAATTTGTGCACTGATTTATGCATACAACATTTGAAGATTACCCTCTTCTGAAAGGAACTATTTTAAAATAACAGGTTAAATTTGGGAGCCAACAGGTTCATCACATGAAATTGGGGAATGCTGATGTTGAACATTTGGAAATAAGTCATAATAGATGAAATAATTTTTAAAAGCTGTTTGTCTTTTAAAAAAACAATAGCAGACTTTTCTTTTTCTTTTTAACAGACTTTTAACTTCCTCCTGTTCCTTTCCTATATTGATTCTTGGGTGGAAGAATTTTTTCACATTGCCAAAATGGTTATCTGTTTTTTGGACGTTGCCAAAGTGGTTGAAAACGCTAGTAAAATACATCGTGTTTTATACATGTGTTGCTTTCTTAAGCAATTGTTAACACTGTATGCATGTTAATTTCTCTTAGGGAAAAGCTTTCACACCATATTGACTTTATTTTTAAAAGGAACTTTTCTTGATCCATAGGATCTACCTCAGACCCTGGAAATAGAAACAGATCTGAATTATTTTATACTTTAAATGGATCTTCTGTTGACTCACAACCACAATCCAAATCAAAAAACACATGGTACATTGATGAAGGTAATCTATAATTTTAGTGTTCTTTATAATGATCCTCTCCCTTTAACTCATCAGGAAAAAAAAGAAAAAAGGCTTTTCACCAGAATATCTAATTTTTGGAAACAAAACGAGTATGCCATTTTTTTAGTAATGTGGCTGAACTAAAATATTGTATACAATTAGAACTGCACTGCCTGTCAGATTAAGATAACATTCAGAAAATGTATTAGTAGCTCGTTTTCTTCTCTTAGCTGATCTTTAGGGTAGATCTCTCAAATCAGTTGAATCATTTAAAGTCTTTCCTGTCTGGGTCTTTCTTACCTCTTTAAACACTCCTTTTTTGCCTTTCCTTGGTTTAGGAACATCTTTTTCTTCTGGTTATTTTCTTTGTTCATCTCTTCAGTAAATATTTATTGAGTGCTTACTATGTGCCAGACAGTCTTCTAGGCACAGGGGTTACGATGGTGAGTGAAAAATAGATATGGTCCTTGCCCATTCTGAATTTATGATCAAGTTGTTAAAGCAAACATTAATCAGACCATGACAGAACAGAGAATTGCAATCAGGATGAGTGCAGTGAAGTCACATGATGCCATTAAAGTGTATTAAAGGTGGATTTTACTTACAGGGGCTCAAGGATGTTTCTCTGAGGAAGCAGCACAGTTTCAGTTTTCCAGAGGAGCGTAGGATAACACAGTGAAAAGGGACAAAGAACCTTTTCGGCAGAGGGAATAGCGTATGTAAAGGTCTTGTGGAAAAATGGAACCTGTGTTTGCCAAGGACTAAAAAGAGCCAGAGTAGCTAGAACAAAGAGAGAAGCATAACATTTTATGAGAAAGGCTTACAGGGCCAGGGCATGTGGAGCCTGGTGTGCCCTATTTAAAGGGAATGGGAAGCCACTGAAGGATTTTCAGCAAGGGGTGACATGACCAAGTTTGCCTTTTGAAAATCATTCTGGCTGCATGGGGGACAGTGGCTTGAAACAGGGACCATGTGGGTATGAGGGCACCATTGAAGGTTGTTGCAGGGCTCAGAAATAGATTATAGCAGCTAGGGCGAGGCTTGTTGGGGAAGAGATGGGGGGAAGTGGATGGTGTCGGACATCTTTAGGAAGTGAATTGATAAGACTCAGGCTGAAAGTGAGAGCTGAGGAAGAAAGAGGCATTGATGATACTCCTGGTTTTCTGGCTTGCAGACTTCAGCAATTGTAGAGGAAGGTAATGAATTTGATTTTGACAATGTTGAGCTCCAGGGACCTCTTAAATATCCAGAGTTGATCTGGAGTCAAGTAGATAGTTGGATATTTAGGTCCAGAGCTTAGAAGAGTTAAGAGCTGGAGAAGTAAATATGCAAGTTGCCCCCACATATCTGGTGATTAAAGTCCTGTGAATACTATGGCCCGAATAGAGAGTGGTGGGGGGCGAGTGTGGGAATGAGACTGAGTCCCAAGGAATTTAGTGGGTGGGAGACAGAGGAGACAGAGAAAAAGCCACTGGAAGGAGCTGAGGAAAACCAGCAGGTTGTTGGGTCAAGAAGCCAAGGAGCTATCAATGGATTTGGCCAAAGGAAGCTATCAATGACCTCGGTTGGTTATGCTTCTGTGGAGTGAGGAAATGGAGACATGAGTTTGGTTGCCAAAAATGGAAGTTTGGGTTTCATCTTGGACTTCTCTCTCTCATTAGTCACATCCACTTGTCACCAAGTTTCCTGGAGCTTCTCCTCTTCAGTATCACTAGAATCTTTCTCATATTCTTCATTTATGTAAGCACTGCCTTAGTTCAGATCTATTATTGCTGTCTAGTTAATATAATGGCCTTTCAGCTGGTTCATCTGCTTCACCCTTTTTTCTTCTGAATTTATTCTGAATGACTGTCATCACCATCATCCTTATCATCACTACCATCATCACTGAAGTTGACGTTTCTTGATGACTTACTGTATACACTAGACATGGTGTTACATGCTTTGTATGCATTACTTTGTCCTCATACCAATTTTGTGAGGTAGATATTTTTGCTTTTTCTTTTGTTACAGTGGTTAGATACCTTGCCCAAGGCCACACAGCTAGTTGTAGTGGTGCCAGTGTTCCAACCCAAGTCTGCTCGACGCCAGAACTGACGCTTTTGATCACTACACTGTGTTTCTCTTCACATTACTTTCTGGTTGATTTTTTCTGCAGATGTATCTGCTTGTGTCTCTCCTTTGCTTTATGTCTATTAATTTTCTCCTAGCCCTTGAACATAAAAATCCATATTCCTCACTTTAGCTTGTTGGACCCTTTTATGGCATGACTTCTTACTTGTCTCTGTCATTTGTCCTGCATCCCTGCTCTAGCCATGCTTGGAGTGGAGCCATTTTGGAACGTGCCATACTTTCTCTTTTCGTGGCGCCTGTTGTACCTCTTGCCTGGAAGTCCTTCTTCCTGTTCCTCCCACTCCGTGCTTAGGCTTACTTGTATCCATCTGTTCAATCTCAGCTTGGGTATTATTTTCTCCTGGAAGCCTTCCCTGCCTCTCCTTGGTTAGGTGAGGTGCCATCATAATTGTTTGTCGCCTGTTTCCTCTGCCAGACTGGAGTTCCAAGTGCCTCGCACAGGGCTTGGCATGGAGTACATTTAGTAATTGTGTGCAAATTAAATCTAAATAAGAAGTTACAAGAACTGTAGGACTCTATAGTGACTTTTTAGCTATTGCCTGGATTATTTAGGTTATATACACACAAATGTATATTATACATACACCAATGTCCAAGTCTGCTGTTTCATCACTTGGGCTTAGATACTCATGGGAAATGATTTGAGTTGAGATCTCTGATTTTGTCTTCTTGTACCTTCATTTCTGCTTGGGTAGGATGTTGTGAGGGTAGACAGGGCCTTATCCCCAAGAATTCTTCCTAGCCGTAGAGCAGGAAGCTTCCTTAAATGGTGCTTCTTCAAGAGATTCTGTCTCCCAGTAGACTAGTTGTGTTAAGATTTGGCCCATATGTTAGCAGTTACCAGCTCTCTCAAGTATCTTGGCAGGCAACCATCCACAGTGGCCGTGGGGCAGCCCCACTCTGTCCCCCTGTTGTTACTGGTAGCTTTGCGAATCCTTTTCCTATGAACTGCTTTCTTTCTAAGGAAAGGAAACTAGTAATACCGAGGGTTTGTCATAATCTAGGTGACATTAATTCTTCAAGTTTAGGCAATAACTTTACTTTCATACAGTTTCTGTAGTAGTAGAATATTTTTAAGGTCTTGCTTCTAGTCTGATGTTGTATACTAAGTGTTTGTAAGTATGTGGGTCCTAAATGGGATCTATAAAGTCATGAGATCTATATGGAGTAGGCCTTCATCTTTAAATTAGAAAATAGAAGTAATTTCAGTGTGAAAGAACATTTCTTTTCCATAACTAATTTCATTGATATATTTAAAAAGTTTTTTTTCCCTACAACATTTGATTTGTGTATTCACTTTTTTTCTTAAACCTTGAGTATTTTCTTGTGTTAGCGGCTATACCAAGTGCTGCAGATTCACCCGTGAAGCCTCATGAAAAAACATGAAAAAGCCTACAGAATTCCTCCTCTTGCTTATGTTCTGGTTGGTATGACAGATAGTAAATATATAGATAGACAAGGTAATAATTGATTGTGACACATGCAGTGAAGGAAATGAAGCAACCAGTGGGGAGCCAGCTACCATACTGTATTGGAGAAGTCCCTTTGAGGGAAGGGTATTTGGGTTGAGATCTGGATGATGTGAATGAACCTGTCGGGGAAAGAAGTAGGAAGAGCATTCAAGGCAGAGGAGAGAGGAAAAGCAAAGACCTGAGGCAAGAAAGAGTATTTGAGGAAAGGAAAGTAGGCCAGAGTGGCTACAGCATGGTGAGCAAGGAAAATAGGTGTGGAAATGAATTTGTATCGGTAGGTGGGAGCTAGGTCATCTAGGACTTTGTTGATATCAGTGAGAAATGTAGTATTTATCATAAAAACTCTGGGAAACTATTGGAAGTTTTTAAATAGGGGAGTGATATAAGATCATGTAAAATCTTTAATTTTAAAAAGATCTCTCTTAGAGGTGTATGGTGATTAGTTTGGAGAGGGACAAGCGGGGACAGACCAGGAGAGACACTGGTTATAGGGTGAAAGACAATGGTGGCTTGAATTAGGGAGATAGTAGAGGTGAAGAAGAGAGGATGGATTTGAAATATGTTTTGGAGACAGAACCCAATGCTTTACAGATTTGGGTTTTGGGCTTGAGGTTGAGTGTTTAAGAAAGAAAAGAATAACTTAAAATGCCTATATTAAATATCACTTCCAAAGAATTTTAAATGGATGAAGTATATAGAACAATAAGGTACAAAGCACAGCAAACACCCATATAGTCACGACTCACTTGAAGAAAAAAATCATTATTATTACCTTTGAAATTCCCTTGGTGCTGCTTCCTAGAACCCTTTCCTTCATGCTCTCCTCTGAGCTTCTGTCACCTTTAATTTACTGTTCATCATTCTCTTGGTTTTCATGATAGTCTTATGAGTTTGTTTATTTAAACAGTATACTGTTAGTTGTGCATGTTTCTGAGCTTCATATAAAAGAATCAGATTCTATGTATTTTGTGATATCCCCTCAGTGTTATGTTCTAGAGATTCACCACACTAGTAATAGATTATAATTTATTTGTTTTCATTGCTCTATAGTGTTCCATTATGTTTCATTCCATTACTGTCTAAATATACCATAATATACATCTCTAATCAACCACCGATGGGCATTTGAATTCTTATTTTCCTGCCATTATTAACAGCCCTGCTATTAACATTCTTATGTGTCTAGGCTGTATACCTAGGAATGCATTTACTGGGTCATGTCAAATGGACATCTTTCCTTTACTGAATCATGTTACACGTTCCCAGAGTAGTTGTACCAGTTTATACTCCCATCAACATTGTGTGAGGGTATCATTTGCTCTTCATCCTTACCATTAGTTAGTGTTCTAAAACCTTGAACTTTTGAAATGGTATCTCATGTTGCTTTTGACTTCTTTTATCCACTTGTGAGGGCAAGAATCTTTTCACTGATGTGTTGATTATTTGGGGTATCTTCTTCTGAGTTGCCTTTTCAAGCCCTTTATTCATCTTTCCTAGTTTTTTTTATCTTTTTATATTGATTTATAGCATTTTGTCCAATTTTAATCCTTTGTCAGATATATATAAGTGTTTTCTATTTGTTCAGTTCATGTTTTCACTCTTGCTAAGGTGCCTTTTAATGAATAAGTAGCTCCATTTTAATGTGTTCATATTCGATATCTTTTCCTTTACGGCTTATATACTTATGTTCAAGAAATTTCTCTCTGTTCTAAAATCATAAAGAACATTCTTCTATATTGTCTTCCAGAAGTTTATGGTTTTACCTTTCACATTTGTCTTTAAGCCACCCGAAAGTGATTTTTGTATGGAGCATGCAGTACAAGTCCAATTTAAATTTTTTTGAAGTACTGATAACTGATTATCTCAATATTATTTATTGAAAAGTTCATTCTTTCCCCACTGATCTGTAGTGCCTGCCTGGCATCTGTTTTCATTATCTTAAGGAAATAAATTTTGGCTTTGGTTTTCTTTTTGTGTGTGTGTTTTCTTTTAAATTATTTTCTGCTTTTGTAAATTTATTCTGGTTTTGATCCTCTTTACTGTGTTTATCTTCTCTTTCATTAATTTCTGTTTTGTATTTATTCTTTCCTCTTGACTGCTTTTTGGGAGGTTACTCTGTTCTAACTTCCTCAGTTGTATTTTGAGTTCTTTAATGTTCTTTCCTAAAATAAACTATTACATCTATAAATTTCCTTTGTAAGTACTGTTCCACAAGCATTTGTTGCTTCTTTATTTCTCTCTCTTTTTATTTTAAAAATTTACATCATTGGAGCACCTGGATGGTTTAGTTGGTTAAGCTCAGGCCATGATCCCAGGATCCTGGGATTGAGCCCCACATTGGGCTCCCTGCTCAGCAGGGAGTCTCCTTCTCCCTCTATCCCTTCCCCCTGTTTGTACTCTCTCTCTGTCTCTCTCCCAAATAAATAAATTTATGTAATCATTTCTGTTTTGATTCTTTAGTTATTTAGAAGTATCTTTCTAAATCTTTTGGTATTTTTATTTGTATTGTTTTCTAACTATTGTATTATGGAAAAAAAGTATCACCTATTTAATACTAATCAATAATAGTTTTTTTTGGTTTGAGCAGTTGGGTGCTATTTACTGATGTAGAAAAATCTGGAGGTGGGAGGAGAATGTAGATTACTGCTTTGGAGAGATTAAGTGTGCAATGCTTACAAGAATCCTAAAGTCAAATGGACAGCTGGTCTAGATGTGTATATTAATTCTTAGAGATGTGGATGTATTTAATATTCTTGAATACATTTCTCTAAATAAGGATAATTTTTTTATAGTTGCTGAAGACCCTGCAAAATCACTTACAGAGATATCTCCAGACTTTGGACACGCTTCACCACCACTGCAACCTCCTTCTATGAACTCATTATCCACCGAAAACAGATTTCACTCTTTACCGTTCAGTTTGACAAAGATGCCAAATACCAATGGAAGTATTGGCCACAGTCCACTCTCTCTGTCAGTTCAGTCTGTGATGGGAGAGCTAAACAATGCACCTGTCCAGGAGAGTCCCCCCTTGGCCATGACTTCTGGGAACTCACATGGTCTGGAAGTGGGCTCTCTGGCTGAAGTTAAAGAGAATCCCCCTTTCTATGGGGTAATCCGTTGGATCGGTCAGCCACCAGGACTCAATGAAGTGCTAGCTGGACTGGAACTGGTAATTTAATTTGACTTAAAAATCGCAATTCTTCTCTATCTGGAGTTTTGTGTAGTTTTTTCCCCCTTTTATGCTTTTTTTTGGTCAAAATGTTTTATTTGTCAAAAAAGGCATCACTAGAGAAAAATGTTATTACCGTGTCATCTGGCTTCTTTGCCACCCCTGAAGCAGCTGACCCACTTGTTCCCCATGATAATTGATCTATGTTCAAGTAATGGAAACAGATTTTTAGGCCACTGTGTTTAGGCTCATTATATTCAACAGAATACAGTAAGGAAAACAAATCTTATTGGCTGTCTTTTTCTTCCTCAATCTCTCTCCATCAGTCAGTTCTAATACTTATTTCATCGGTTTTAAGATTAATTGCCATTGTTAGAGATTTTTTTTGAGATCTTTTTAGAGGGAAAAATTTTGCCTTTGGAGATTGGGAAAGCATATCGTTTGGCCTTTCATGATCTGGAGAGCATAATTTGAGTACAATTAACTTTTACTTATAAAATATATTTCTTAAAAATTCATTTGTATGCTAGCAAAGGCTACTTTTGGGGAAGGGGAAGGTTGTTAAATAAATCACCCGTGCCCCTTAGTTTTCAGTACTTGTGGAAATGGTGCAGGAGAACCTGTTAATCAGGGAAGGCATAAGCCTACATTCTGGAAGAAAATACATTGAGGACTTCAGTCTGGATTAAAGAATTAATCTCTTAAATGATGAGTTGTGAGCTGAAGCACTGGTTAGTTGATCCCCTCTTTCCTGATGGAGTTCTTGGGACGAGCGTGATGAGGGAATTCTGAGAAAGAGTGAGCCATGGAATAGAAACCTCCATTCCTTGTGTACTCAGGTGCATGGTGCAGAATAGCACATCCTGAAGCATTTCTTTTTCAGGAAGATGAGTGTGCAGGCTGTACAGATGGAACCTTCAGGGGCACCCGATACTTCACCTGTGCCCTGAAGAAGGCACTGTTTGTTAAACTGAAGAGCTGCAGGCCAGACTCCAGGTTTGCGTCTCTGCAGCCAGTTTCCAATCAGATCGAGCGCTGCAACTCTCTAGGTATGGGACACTTTTCATTTACTCACCTGCTTCTGATCTCAGGCCATTCTGCAGTAGGCGGCAGTAACATACATTAAAATGTATTTTTCCTGGATGTTCATTGGCCAGTCAATCAGCAAAAATTGCTACTTAGTAACAAGAAAGTTACAGTTGTCCCAAGAGGGGACTTTTGGACAAAGTATCAGGCAGGAAAAAAATGAGATTTGGAAAGTGAAAAATAGTGAGACTTACTTTTTTCCCTTCTTATTGGCCACTAACATTTAATTTTTAAAAACACAGAGGTAAAAATTGAAATGGGGCCTTCCTTGGGCACGGACTACCCTCTCTTGAAGGATTAAGTACACCAATAAGCATATCTTACAAAATCAGCATTATTATATGATGTAGTCCTAGACTAATTGATAGAGGACAGGTCCCCTCAACATTCATAACGGGTGACAGTTTCCTGAAGTTGTCTCTTTCCAGTTTTGGGTAATAGTTGTGAAGCATTTTGACAGTTAAGTGACTATCAACAGGAAAGCCATCTTTATGGAAAATATTTTTTCATTACAGTTGAAGTAGTATTGTGGAATTTTTTGTTTTCTGACTTAAAGATGAAACATCTCAGACAAATAAAATATTTGGGGCACAAAGTATTTTAACTTGGCAGATTCTTTTTATACATTACTTAATACTCTAACGTCTTTTTTAAATGGTGGAGGGAGTGAGGTTGAAATGAACATTTTTACAAGCCAAGCTGAAGAGCAGTGAACCCAAACCTAGTTTTAACTTAGTTTTAAGTCATGAAACAAGTTTTACCTCAGAATACAAAAATGTATTTTAAAATGATGAAATACATGGGAATACATATTGTAATAATTAAAAAGGGAACTTAGCATTTTCATTTTTATGTTTGCAGCATTTGGCGGCTACTTGAGTGAAGTAGTGGAAGAAAATACCCCACCCAAAATGGAAAAAGAAGGTTTAGAGATAATGATTGGAAAGAAGAAGGGTATCCAGGGGCATTACAATTCTTGTTACTTAGACTCAACCTTATTCTGGTAAGTTTCAAATAAATGCAATAGGACTATAGTTCTATGGGGGAGAATACATACAGAGATGTGTGTATGAGCATCCGTGTGTGTGCCTGTTGCATGTGCATGAAAGAAACTGCTAATTGCCTTTGAATAAAGAAACTGGGTAGCTGGGGAACAAGAAAGAAAGGGAGATTTACATTTCATTATAGCCTTTGGAAGCTTTTGAACATGGTCGGTCTCATGTGCTCATATCCAAAAAATTAATACAAAAGTAATGTGGTGAGTAAGGAGTAACAGTGATAGTGTTATGGGGGGGCAGATGTTTTGAGGGTGTCTGGGAAATCATGGATTGAATGAATTAATTTTAAAGAATTATTTTCAGTAGAAAATAATTGCCGTTGTATATGTAGTTTATTCCAAAGTTGAATGACTTAACATGGCAAGAGGCTTTACATTGAGATCAAGCCACATACGCTGCCAGTTGAGTGTAACTAGCCAGCTCTATACAGTCACGTTGTAAGAATTAGGAAGTTAATGGGGTGTTCAAATTTTAAAAGTGGGGAGAAGAATAAAAATGGTGGGCCATTCTTTTTGGCAGGATACTGTACATCTCTTAGGTGTGTAGACAAAAACAAGCCCTACTGAACTGATATGAGACTTTGTAGATTTCCTGATAAAAATTTGTATTAGCCAAAATTCCTTGGTCTTTGATCCCAGCAAGTCACCAGTGTTAGTCCTTCACAAGTGACTTTGGCATTTAAAGAAATTTCCATCTCTGTAAAGGGGTGTGGGGAGAGAGAAGTATGGTATCTAGAGTGGGTTTTATATTGTGTCCTGTGTCTGCATTGGGAAGTAGTTTCAAACTTCCTCCTCTGAGGTCTGCTTCTACTTTGACTCAGATTTGTAGGCCCCTTTTCAGCTTTTGCAAAGAAGTTCTCTTGATATACTCAAGGCTTATTTTTATCCTTTAACACTGTCAATCTGGAGTTTTCTTTCTCAGTATTGGTCTTTTCATCTTGAAGGAGCTCTAGACCCTGATGATTGAACCATGGGAACCTTAAGAGGGGTGTCTCTGGTACCTGTGTTAGCAGAAAGCATGCGTTTGTATGTTTCTTGTTCTGCAGACTTTGTGTTTTTTCTCTTCTCATTCTTTTTAGTCTTCTGTTTCCAGAAAGTATCATTTTAGTATCTGTTTGGTATTTTTGTAGTATTCTGTTTAGTGTCTGTAATATGCATACAGCATGAGGAAAAATATTCCTTTTATTTTACAGCTTGTTTGCTTTTAGTTCTGTTCTGGACACTGTGTTACTTAGACCTAAAGAAAAGAATGATGTAGGATATTATAGTGAAACTCAGGAGCTACTGAGGACAGAAATTGTTAATCCTCTGCGAATGTAAGTAGAAGATCTATCATTATTTTGCTTTTAGATGATGTCCTATTTATGGTTTTCCGAGGTAGTAATTAACTTATACCTGTTTTCATGGGTGAAAAATTGTTCTCTTGGTGAAGTAGGATGACTGAACCTTTACTGCCTTAACTTTTTAACCTTTACTGCCTTTACCTATTTAATTTATTAAATCTGGTTAAGGTGTAGTATATAGTGTATGCCATAAAATGATGAAACCATTTTAGTATTGTCCAATTTAGTGATTGCAGCAGGTTTAGAAAAGTTGATAAAAAGTGCAAGGTACTCTTATTTTCTATGATAGTTCATTCTAGCAGTATCCCTAACAACGGTCATGCTCTCTGGGCTAATTGCGGAGTTTGGCTTCTGAAACTTAATTTTATCTGAAAAAAAAAAAAGCAAAAGAAAATTTTAATTTGTAGAATAGCTAGTATTTAATAGTCTAGCATTAGAAAAGATGAAATATATTTTATTAACACATTTCTTGGTTAAAGGAATATAGTTAGGCCTCCCTGCACATTCCTTTAAAAATGATATTTTGATCATTTCTTAGTTTATGAATTACAAATATGTTGTTCTTTGGTCACGAAGAAGTGATTTGTGATGATACAAGGTTAAGTTACGAGACCTCTAGTAAAGACATTTCATAAGTGGTGGTAGTGAATGTGGGATAATATCACAGTTTAAAATTTAAACTATGAAGAGTTAGGTCCCTAGACTATGAAAGAAATCTGTTCACTCAGGAATATAGAGAGCAAACTATGCAATTTAAAGTCCACATTAAGTCTGTACTCATTTAAATCTTGAGACCCTTTTCTTATTTAATGATTAAAATTTAAAAATAGTTTGATGTGAACTTTTGATGACAGAATGCAGAAGATTGAACAATAAAGGGCACGCAGAATGGCCTACTGTATCACATGGCTAGGAAAGTCAATTATAAGCAAATAAATCTCCCTCCTTATATCTTTTCTTTACATTCTGTAATGATGAAAATGACTTGAGTTTTCACCCCATAAGATAATTGAGTCTTGATTTTGACATCAGTTATTTTATCTGATGCAGATTTTTAAATTTACTGTCCATTTCTTCCTCCAAGTAATTGAAAATGGAACAAGATAGATCAAATTCAAAACTCTAGGCCATGTGACCACTTCCTTCTTCCTTCCCAAATACCATCAGACCATTAATAGACATTATTTGGATACTGTTTTCCAACCAGTTAAGAATCACGATTAACCGGGCTGTTGTTCCTGTCCACAACAAGGACCTTGGCAGATACCCTGTGATCAAGATTCCCTGTGTCTGCAGCATTCCTATCTATTAAAGCTGACTGGTTTTATTTGGTACTGAAACCTCTGTTTTCTCTGTCTCAAACTCCTCAAAGGCAGAGACCCTGTTTTACCACCTAATTCATTTTTGTATTCCCAGTGGCTGACAGGTTAGATTACTGTGTAAGCGGTGGATGCTCAGTGTATGTTGGTTGCAGAGAGTTGATGAGTGAATGAATAGTCAATATACAAAATGGATATTAGATTAGCTACTTTTGACTTGCTCTTGTTAAACCTGCGTGGACTTCTCATGTTTCTTCCAAAGGCATTTTTAGTTTTAGAATTTTGTCAGGGATCACTGTGGAATGTACTGAATGTGTCCTGTATTCAAAGATGAGAGACAATGTCATATACATGTTGACTGTTTTGATTGTACCTTTTCCATTTTCAGTTTCTTATCAAGGCTCTTTAGCATTCCCTTTGGCGATTTTTTTCCTACTTTAGTATTAAAATGACTTGTTCTCAAAGTTTTTTTTCTAAGTAAATAATTTCTTAAGCATATAGAATCAGAAGACTAGTCATCGTAATTTAAAACGTAATTTAAAAATGCTTTCTCTTAGATTAGTATATGACAGCTATTACTTTGATGTAGTAGTGGCTAGGGTAATTCTGATGCTAGATCTAGATCTTTAATTTGCAAACCTCAAGAAGCAGCCTATAACTGTGATTTTCAAAATGATTGGCTAGCCTATTAATTTATGTATGACATGTTGGGATTATATAAGAATTCTGTGATTATCAAAATGTGTTATACTAATGTAATATATATGCCAGTATTAATTAATTGTTTTTTGCTAATGTAGATATGGATATGTGTGTGCAACAAAGATTATGAAACTGAGGAAAATACTTGAAAAAGTTGAGGCTGCATCAGGATTTACCTCTGAAGAAAAAGGTGGCTCCTAATTTATAGGATATGCATTAAAAATAACTTGAGAACATATCTGAAATTATTAGAAATGTGTGTCTGTGTAGTTTGGGGGGTTTTATTTTAAGCTAGAAATTCCTTTCTGTGTGATGTACAATTTTTTTAAGTCCTTTTTTTAAAGTTTTCATTTAAATTCCAGTTAGTTAACATACAGTGCAATATTAGTTTCTGTGTGATGGACAGTTTTGTCCCCTTTTTGTAAATGCTTTATCTCTTCTAAAAGTGAGTGATATGTGGGAAAATGAACCCCTTTAAGAAGCTGTCTGGTTGTAGTACATTAAGTGAATAAATAGTTTTTGTCTTTCTTCCAGCAGTGGTATTTGGCATTGTTTTCCTTCTAGGGGTGAAGGGTTGCATTGGGTCCATCCACCATTTTGCAGTTAGCTTTCCAGTTATAAAGGGAGCTAACATGGGCAATTAGAATTAAGTTTATGATCAGAGATCATATTTTAATCTATTCTTAGCTACTGGATTTACTCTGAGATTCAGCTCCTGACTCTGAACATGCTAGCAGCATATCATAACCAGTAATGATGTTTAGAGACTTGCTAATTATTCAAAAACAGGAAAAAACAAGGTTTTATTTCCAATTTTATTCTACTTAACCCCCTCAGAAGAAATTGGAATTACTTAATTATACATGAATTACTATATCTTTTCAAAAACAGTTAAGTTATAACAAAATTGGACTGTCCTTTATCATAACTTTATCATAACTATGGTTTTCATTAGGCAGGAAAACTTGAGAACTATGCTTTTAATTGAAAAAGTGTCAGTTATGAAAGTGAATTCAGAATAAGAACGTAACTATTATAAATTTAAAAAATAGAATGATTTAAAAATTTTGTCTGTGACTTACTTTTCAATTTTCTCCTAGATCCTGAAGAATTCTTGAATATCCTATTTCATCAAATTTTAAGGGTAGAACCATTGTTGAAAATAAGGTAACTTTTAAATTGTTACAGAAGCATTGGAAAAAATAGGCAATCTTCATATTCTCTACCATCATTGGATAGAAAGATGTCTTTAGTGATTACATAATATTGTATTTGTTTAGGAATCTTAATACGCTAGGTTCCAGTGCCTGGGTGGCTCAGTCAGTTAAGGGTCTGCCTTTAGCTCAGGTCATGATCCCACAGTCCTGCTCAGCAGAGAGTCTGCTTCTGCCTCTCCCTATGCCCCTCCCTTTGCTTGTGTGTGCACACGCTTCTCTCTCTTCTCTCACTGTTTCTCAAATAAATACATTTTTTTAAAAATCTAAAAAAAAGGAAAAAATGTGCTAGGTTTCTACAATGCAAATTAATTAAGCTATTTAATTACATGATTAATTTAATCATTGTCCTCGCTAGAGTATTGTACTTAACTGGAACACTGAATCTGGTGTAAATTTGTGCTTTTAATTTTAACCCTAGTTGTAAATATTTTTGCAAATCATTTTCTTATAAAACTGTACATAAATATTCTTATAATTTAATTAATGAAAGCTTCCAAGGGAAATTAAAGAGTAAGAGAGTCTTATTCTATGGGTGCTTGGGTAGCTCAGTTAGTTGAGCATACAGCTCTTGATTTTGGCTCGTGTCAAGGTCTTGGGGTCAAGTCCCATATTGGGCTGTCTGCTCAGCAGGGAGTCTGCCTGAGATTCTGTCCCTCTGTCCATCCCTCTGCTCGTGTGTGCACTCTCTCTCTTTCGAACGAATAGATTAATCTTTTAAAAAAAGAGAGAATCTTATTCCAACCCGATTAAATACCTTGAGAACACTGGTTTTTTTTTTTTAAGATTTTATTCATTTATTCATAGACACAGAGAGAGAGAGGCCGAGACACAGGCAGAGGAAGAAGCAGGCTCCATGCAGGTAGCCCGATGTGGGACCCAATCCCGGGTCCCCAGGATCACACCCCAGGCTGCAGGCGGTGCCCAACCGCTGTGCCACCAGGGCTGCCCGAGAACACCGTTTTTGATGATCCATCACTCAGAGAATCACTTAGCCTCACATTAGCTTTTTTTTCCCCAGTTTTGTGATTAGCCTTTTTTTTTCTCCTCCATCTTAAATGAAAGTCTCGAATCTAATGCACTGAAGTTCTTAGGGAGATATTCTAAATGGATGAACTTTTCAGGTAGTTAAATGTTTACAGTCTAAATGCTGGACCCTTTTACACTTTACACTTGGGTTTCTCTATTCGAAATCTTGCCAATTTACTGTTTGCTTTCCTAAGAGCTATTACAGACAAATATTCTTATTATCTTGTGTCATAAGTGAGGTGTGATGCCAGCGTTGAATTGACGGATAGAAGGAAGGGAACGGAGGACAGTACCACAATTACAGTTTGATATTGTTTTGGATGTTCTAACTAATGAAATAAGACATGATACATAAACATCAAGAATACATACTTATTCTCTGTTCAAAGATGATGATAGCTATATGTATACCTAGAAAATCCTGGCAAATTGTTCAGAAACTACTAGGATTACACAAGAATTTATAAATTGACCACATAGAAAGTAATCATGGAGAAATCACTAGCATTTCTATATACCTTCTAACAAATATGTAAAAGGGATGCTTTCAGGGATCCCTGGGTGGCGCAGTGGTTTGGCGCCTGACTTTGACCCAGGGCGCGATCCTGGAGACCCGGGATCGAATCCCATGTCAGGCTCCCGGTGCATGGAACCTGCTTCTCCCTCTGCCTATGTCTCTACCTCTCTCTCTCTCTCTCTGTGACTATCATAAATAAATAAAAATTTTTTTTAAAAAAAGGGATGCTTTCATACTTCATGACAGTATAAAATGCCAAGAAATAAATATTATTGATGTGTTTTTTAAAAATTTGTGCAGAGCTCCAAAGGCGATTTGATTAATTAGTGAGAAAGATTGTGTTCCAGGTAAGAACAGTAAATTACTTAAAGATGTTAATATTTTATAGGATTACTTACATGTAAGCAAGATCCTAACTTTTTTTTGAACTCTGTAAAGTGATTTTAGAGTTCTTTATAAGATGAAATGGGTGAAAACATTGAAGTTTGAAGGTTTTTTTAAAAAAGAGTTCTATTATAAGCTATAAGGCAAAGCTATAGACATTAAACAGTGTGATACTGTATAAAAGTGGATCAACAGACTTGAATAGAAAGCTCAAAAATAGAATCTCAGTATCTTATAAGTCAACTCTCAGACACAAATGAGGAAAGAAAGCTGTGTTTAATACATGTTGTAGGAAATCTAACAGGGAATTTGGGAGAAAAGAGTCACTTTTGTATTTCCTCTGGAAGAGATAAATTTCAGATGATTAAAAAAATTGTCTTCTTCTTCTTCTTTTTTTTTTTTTTTTTTTGTAGCCCAACAACCCTTGGCGATGTCCTAGACTTCCAGTAATAACATAGGATGAAAACAGCTGTGATTCTCAGGGGGTGAGGAGGGCTGGACAGATGTAGGAGTGCATCTCAGTGCTTGTAGGTCTTGTGGGTTTTGGAGAGGTCCCTGGGAAGTTCTGGGAATTTCTGCCACCCCTTGAAGGGGTCACTGCTTCCCAACCCTTTCAGCAGCCTCTTCATATGGGGAATTGCTGGTTTAAAGATTACAAGAAGATATAAAAAGATACTTCAAATGTTAACTTTTCTTTTTCAAGTGTTATTCTTCACCTGCATGAGCCTTGCTCTCTCAGAGAGTCTGCTGATATAAAAACTAGGAGGAGGAGTACCGTAAACTCTGAAATAGTGGAACAGTCTGAGAGACTGCACTGAATTCTTACAGGACTGATGAGACAAAGGACTAGCCACCTAGGAGGATAAATGAGAATTTGATAACAGACTAAATAGAGTAAACAAAAATTGAATTCCCAGAAATAGAAGTTAAAAAGGTCTATCTCCATGTATATGCTGTACAGCTGGGAGAAGGAGCATCACTAGATATAGTATGTAGAGCTGAAGAGAGAATTGCTTATTTGGAAGATAGATTGGAAGAAAGTACCTGAAATGCAGCCCTAAGGGAAGAGAAGTTGGAAAACAAGAGAAGGTAAGAGGCGTGGAAGACCAGATTCCTAAGTGCAGTTCTAGGAGATACTGGAAAGAATAGGGAAGAAATAATATTTTGATTGATAATAGCTAAATATTTTCCAGGCTTTTTGTAGACTTAAATTCTAAGAAGAAATATGCACAGGATTTCTGAGCAGGAAGAACTGGGACTAAATCACCTAACCCAGAGACTTATTACAGAATGTACTTTAGAAGGACAAAGGTGATCTTAAAGTAAGAGAGTAGTATGCTAGGAACAAGGAAGAAACAGGTTTAAATGTGGGTAAATTAAAGCCTTCATTTTCTAAAAACAACAATAATGATAGTACTGGTAATGATGACTAGTGTGGGGTGTTAAAGAGAAGGTGAAACTGAAGTCCCAGCCACTAACTTGAGAAGATAGTGCTCAGGGGCAAAGATGGAAAAATTCTAAGAAAAACAATTGAATAAAATCAGCAATCAAAAAGCAAAGACACAGGGCAACTTTCAGGTTGTGTAATTGAGTACTTCTCATTATAGAACATGGTCTGGGTATTCTTATTACATGGGTATATTATATTCCACAGTGCTAGATAATCAAGAAATCTGTAAAGAATTTTAGTGGCTACCCATTCAGGATTGTATTACAAAGGTAGACAGACCAATGTTACACAATTCCATGAATGTTTTGATCTTCTTCCTAGATGTATGTTTTCTTCTAAGGTTAATGCAGCATTTGTACCCTTCTGCTTCTAGATTTTCTTAGTGGGAAATGGCAATCTAAATTGTACAGTTCTCTACCATAGCACCGGCTTTGTTGTGATTCTTGTATATGTGTGCCTTCATGACCAGCTAATTTGCTCTAGGGTTTAAGCCTTCTAAAACTGTGGTCATCAGATTGGAGTGCTTGTGTCCCACCCCCGCCACCCAAGCTCCTAATCCCTCTGCCTCAATATCACAGAGGTGTGGGTCTTCATCCTTATTTCTGGTTCTCTTCATTCCATGTGTGCCACTTGGGTTCGCATCAACTATGATTCCCTTTCCCTGTCACCATTGTTATTTCTAATTGTTGCAACTAGTGACCTCTACCACTTTAAGCTTTCTTAGTTTCCTGTCCTATTTTTTTTCCTGTTACCTGTTAAGATTTTTTATGCTTTTGCTTTCGCAGAAAAAATGCTGGTCTTTTGCAATCATCAACAACCAAGTAAAATATTGATAGAGCATAATCTTCAAGCTTTTTGGTTATCATTTGTTTTTATTTGTTGTAAGTTCTCCTGAATCTCCTGGTTTTATTAAGTAAGTTTTGTGTATTTCAGGGTATAAGTTGCTTTGGAAAGCAGAGGGCTTCTGAAGGTTGGTCTTTGAATAGCTGTTTCATTATGAAAACTGTTAATAATTTTCCATAAAAATCTTGAAATCTGCCTATAAATAGGCTGATTCTTTACAGAAATTCTGCCAAAAAGGTAAATATTATACTTAAACATTATTAATCCTTTTGGCAGAGTTAGTTTTAAAGATTAATGGCATTCTGTAGTAAAATATTTATTTTAAAATTTTCTTTCTTTATTTATTTTGGAGACAGAGAGAGCACATAGGTGGGGGGAAGATACAGAGGGAGGGGCAGAGTCTCAAGCAGGCTCTGCCCTGAAGTGTGGAGCCTGATGCGGGCCTTGATCTCACCATTCTGAGATCATGACTCGCTCCAAAATCAAGAGTCAGACTCCCAACCAAATGAGCCACCCAGATGCCCCTGTAGCAAAATATATGGTTTAATATAATGGTAACACTGTGATGGGTATATAGTAAGAGCTTACTGGTATTTGTTGAATAGATGACCATCTAAAGAGACAGCATGCTTTCATGGAAAGAATAGTAAGTGATTAATAGGATACCTGATTTCTACACCTAGCTCTGCTTTAAGTTGCTGGGAAGCTATGATTATTCTTCCCTAGAACTCAGGGCCTTCATTTCAGAAGTGAAAAGTTGGGTCTGGAAGGTGTCTAAGGGTCTGTCCCATGCAGAGACATAAGAATTCATTCTCCTTTTTCAAGCATTAAATGCATTTTGGATTTTGAACAATCAGTATTTTAATGAATTGTTGATTAAAAATACTTTTTAGATTTGGACAGTGACATTAAACCAAGTGATTTTAGCTTCTGGTATTGTTCACACAGTGCTTCTTGACTATAGATTTTACTCCATTATTTTTCTGCTGATCATTAGGGAACTTTTGGATATAAAAACTAAAATAAGAACTCATTTTTAAGGTCTTATGCAAAGTACATTTAATGAATTAATCTACATTGTTGTCTTTCACCCATTGTTCTGATGACCAAGGTGGTACTGTCCATGTCGTTTTTTTTTTTAAGATTTTATTTATTTATTCATGAGATACACACACACACACACACACACACACACACACACAGAGCAGAGACACAGGCAGAGGGAGAAGCAGGTTCCATACAGGGAGCCTGATGTGAGACTCGATCCCAGGTCTCCAGGATCATGCCCTGGGCTGAAGGCGGCACTAAACCGCTGAGCTACTGGGGCTGCCCTGTTATTGGTTTTTCTGTCCTCAAATACTGCTGGGTTAGCTTCCCGTTCTGACTTAAGCATTTCATAGAGAAATCATGTGTTTTTTTTCTGCATATTTTTAGATCAGCAGGTCAAAAAGTACAAGATTGTTACTTCTATCAAATTTTTATGGAAAAAAATGAGAAAGTTGGAGTTCCTACAATTCAGCAGTTATTAGAATGGTCTTTTATCAACAGTAACCTGAAATTTGCAGAGGTTAGTGATTATTGTATTTTATGTGACAGTGCTTTGGAATCTTGAGACTACTACTAGATTCAATAACTGTTAATTTTACCCCACTGAGAACACACTGTTAACAAAACTCAAATTAAAAAAAAAAGTTCAGTGTTTCAGTTGTGTCCATGTAGAAAATGCCTTAGAATTAAGATTGAACTGTTTGAATTTTTGGTGCCAAAGAAAATATCAAGCAGATTTGTAACTTGAAAACTTAAGTAGTATTTGAGCAAAAGGAAGAAGTACTAAAAAAACGAAAACAAAAACAAAAAAAAACCCTGTCATTTTAGCAATTTTAACATTTTACCTAAGCATATTAGCCAAACAGGAAAAAAAGAATGTTTACTTTTCCTTTAAACAAGAGACAAAATTCACTTATTTATATTCATTTGTTAGTGAACAAGTGATAGAAATTATTTTTCTTTTACTGTTTACTGTGTCTTCATGATCTTAGTAGTACATGCTTGTGGTTTATTTTTATTGTATTTATTTCTGAAAGAAAGCTTTTAATGGCTATAATTATTTGTTGAAGTATAAGGAATGGTGTCCTTCAGTGACCACAGTTTCTTTATTATACTTGCCGAAACAATTTTTCTAAAACGTTTATTTTAAATATAAACCCACTGTGGAGTGTTACTCTAGATTGTCATCATAGTTTAGAGACCCAGGGTTGTTGACCTGCCTGACCTCTGGGTGTCCATGGAATGGATCCTGGACCACTTGAAAATTTGTGGCTCATTGGTGCTCTCCCTCCCTGCTCCATATTCACACTCGGATTCTGCATACAGGCCATTAGTGTTACGGCAGAAACACAGCTTGATGTGGCAACTGTCACTGCTTCAGTTTTATAGGGAAAATTTTTTTCAGCACTTTGATTCTAAAAATATATGTATCTTGTTTTTAGGCACCATCGTGCCTGATTATTCAGATGCCTCGATTTGGAAAAGACTTTAAACTGTTTAAAAAAATTTTTCCTTCTTTGGAGTTAAATATAACAGATTTACTTGAAGACAGTAAGTATAAGATTTTTTAGTTTGTTTTGTTTGTTTTTCACAAATAAGCCCGTCTCATTAATTATGAGTCAGAGTCTAACAGGATATGGTTCTTCAAAAAGGCAATTGAGTATCTGAAGGGCCTGGCAATATTAAGCTGGTACTTTCAGTTCTGAGTATTCTAAGAAAATAATCAGAGATGAAAATAAATATTCTATATGCAAATGTATTTTTTGTCACATGATTAAGAAATTAGGAACAATCTATATGAGAGGAGAGTAGTTAAGTGAATTATGGTGTATCTGTACAATGAAACTACTGCCATTAAAATTCATGTCTGTGAAGACCAAAATGTACAAAACTGGTTATGACCTAATGTTAAGTGAAAAGGTAAGTATTTGGTCCTTTCTCTAAGAGGACCCCCTCCCTCACACGCACACGCAAGCACACGCACACGCAAGCACACACACACAGGGTTACGTAAATCGGCAGATATAAAATTTTTGGAGGAAATTCACAGCAGTACTGACAGCGGTTATCTTGTACTAACTGAAATTGTAGATGCTTGCAGTTTTCTTCTTTATACCTTCTTGTATGTTTGAATTTTCATCTATAGACATTTCGTAATCATGTGAAAACACTCGAGAATATACTGTTTTTTAAAAAATTGTCACTTGATCAGAGAAAATGTCTTTTTAAAGATATCCTGAGCCCTCAGAGATACAACATAACATTTATGGGGATGGGGAGGGATGCACATGTTGAGTCCAAGTTCTCAGTAAAGCTTATCTTTTCCTTTTAGTCATGTTAATGGAAGAATGCATGTTTAAAGACCCCATAATCTCTCTCCCCCCTCATCGTTTTAGCCCCCAGGCAGTGCCGGATATGTGGGGGGCTTGCCATGTATGAATGTAGAGAATGTTATGATGACCCTGACATCTCCGCTGGAAACATCAAGCAGTTTTGTAAAACCTGCAACACTCAAGTAAGCCTGATGTCACTAACTGAATATTCTCTTTTTGAATAGGAAATGATTTGTAGTTGAAAATATTTCAGGTTTTGAAAATTTTTCAAAACCATTATTAACCTGAGTTCATAATCAAGTGGTACTGCTTATGTGTCTTCTGTGTTCCCTGGTGGACTGTTGAGAGGTACTCAGTTACTGTTTATGGGGTTGAATTCAGTGAGAGTAACTGGGGCTGCCTCACCAGAAACACGGAGTTTGGCTCATCAGTGACATTCTCTCCCTGCTCTGTTTCAGGTCCACCTTCATCCCAAGAGACTGAACCATAAATATAACCCGGTGTCACTTCCCAAAGATTTACCTGACTGGGACTGGAGGCACGGCTGCATCCCCTGCCAGAAGATGGAATTATTTGCTGTTCTCTGCATAGAAACAAGCCACTATGTTGCTTTTGTGAAGTATGGGAAGGATGACTCTGCCTGGCTCTTCTTTGACAGCATGGCTGATCGGGATGGTATTTTATTTTATTTTATTAAAGATTTTATTTATTTATTGGAGAGAGAAAGAATGAGCAGGGGGAGAGGGAGACACAGACTCCCCGCTGAGTAGGGGGCCTGATGGGGGGCTTGATCCCAGGACACTGGGATCATGACCTGAGCCGAAGGCAGATTCTTAACCGATTGAGCTACCCAGACACCCTCAGGATGGTATTTTAAAAACTTTTCTTCTATGTATGGCACTGTTTTAGTTTGTAGTAGCATAGTTCATAGTGGATAGGCTGTTCTGAATAATAGAAGAGCATATATGAAAAGCCTCCCAGGTGTATCTTGGTGACACCATCTTCACATCTTAAAATGCATATACATCCCTGTTACTAAATTAAGGAATAATATCGTTGCGATATTTTGACACACATGTGGTTTTTATTAAAAGAAGAATCCTTTTTAAAATCCTTATTTTAGGGCTCAGAGGTTTTCCTTTCAGCTTTGTCTTCTCTTACTTTCAAGGTCCTCTCCTTTTCTATATGATCCATAATCACTATTTATTAAGTGCTTAAGCACCGAGCTCTCTGGGAAGCACACTGAGTCATTATACTGAAATCCCTGCAACATGGGGATTACTGCTCTTTTCCCGTTATTAAAGCTGAAGTTGAGGTGCCTGAGGTCCCATAGCTTGTATTTAACTCCGTCTTTCTGACCTCAGTGCTTATGTTTTTTTATACTACACTATGTTGTCTTCTAAATGACAAAGCGAAGAATAGAAATAAGTACCTTCTTGGAAAAATAAGCCTATTCTGCATATAATGTGCTTCTTCCTGAAATGGGGAGGATGCTGCACCTGCTAGGCCACATTCGAAGATGCTTAGGCATTATTTAACAAATATGTAACGAGCACATGTGCAGTATCACAGGCTCTCGTGTTAACTGAAAAGCATCTGGGGGTCGGACATTTGGAAAAACGATTGAGAGGCTGGACCAGGAGAGCCTTTCTGGGAGTGCCCCAAACCACACCAGCATCCTTATTCAGTCTGTGAGGCAAAGCCTTGCAAGACTTGCACAAATACGCATTTAAAATTTAGAGAAGTGAAAATAGTACTCATTTTGCTAGGTGTGCTCTAAACTGGACATCTCATGGTGAAAGTGTACAGGGGTGCTTCTGTCTGGAAAGGGACATGGGATATGAAGAGATGGATATTGTTCGATTACATATATGGAACACTATTCCCTCACTGAAAACAGAGAAGCCTAAAAAGCAGGGTTTGGATTTTGCTCAGGATATGCTTTCTCTTACCGGTTTTATTCCATTGGCCCCAGAATCCTTTGAGAAACCAAGAAATGAGAACACTGTCAAGACTTAAAAAGAGGCTTGAACTTCTAGGAATCAGAAGTGACATAAGGTCCTTCAGATCTTGGAAATCAGCCTCCTCTAAATTTAGAGTTGTAAAATCGCTTTGGTAGGGCAGGGCAGCAAAGGGGGTTAGATCTCAACTGCCCTAAATAGAGCTTGTCCTCTTTTCTTCAGGCGGCCAAAATGGCTTCAACATTCCTCAAGTTACCCCATGCCCAGAAGTAGGAGAGTACTTGAAAATGTCTCCAGAGGACCTGCATTCCTTGGACTCCAGAAGAATCCAAGGCTGCGCACGAAGACTTCTTTGTGATGCCTACATGTGCATGTACCAGAGTCCGACAATGAGTTTGTACAAATAAACGGGGTCATCTGGGCAGGGGCAGCAACCGATGGCAAGATCTTAATGTTGCATTTTACCCGAGCTGGCAGTTTTGTTCAGCGTCCATTGCCGGCAATGGATGTCTTTGTGGTGGTGATCCTTCTGAAAAGGATTCCTATGTTTAAAAAACAAATTGCTTTTGTGTTCCTGAAGTATTTAATAAGAAGCATTTTGCACTCTAGAAAGTATGTTTGTGTTGGTTTTTTAAGAAGTCTAAATGAAGTTATTAATACCTGAAGCTTTAAGTTAAGTGCATTGATCATATGATATTTTTGGAAGCATAAAATTTTAATTGTGACAGTTTAAAACCTCTTCTAGTCCATTGAGAATGTAAATAAATGTGTCTTCTTTATGGACCAAGGATATGAAATCATTTCTCCTTTTAGCTAATGGTTGCCTTGAGGAAGAAATATGTTGGTTTTATTAAGAGTCTACTTTTAATCCAGTTAAGAAAATTGTACTGAGTTTGATTTGTTAATTCTCTCCTCTATAGTGCCAACCCCTGCATGTCTGCAACCCGCTGAGCTCCCGTGTTTCCGCAGTAGTGGCCAGAAAAGTACTTAAATTCCATTACTGGTGTTGTTTTCTATTTGTTCTGGTTTTGAGATATCTCAGTGATTTTGTCATAAGACGTCTATTTTTGATGTAATTTTCCTGGGGGATTCGAACAGACAGCAACTGAAGCTCTTCATTCACATTAGTAACTGTCAGCTGAGAGGTTTGTTTGTTTGTTTGTTTGTTTTGTTAAGGCTCTCTAACTATTTTACGGAACAGGGCATAATGAATTTTATTAAATGGTTGGGGTGATAAATAGATTTCTATACAAATATATGGCCCATCAGAAAATAAATTTGAATCTGCAATACTCATTAAAATCTCCCTGAAGAGATGTGTTGGCTTTTCTAAACCTCTCCCATTGTGAGGAAGACTGTCCAGAACTTCAGTGAGGTCAGCTAGTCTGCTCACTAAAAATCCAGCTTGATTTCATGGGAGATCATGGCAGTTACGAATCAGACACTTGATTGAAATGTTTGCAGCAGCTTCATCCTCCTCTGATTAAATAAGTAAAACATGGATGTTTCCTTAGCTCATGTCCACAGTGCGTGTCTGGACCACAAGTGGATGTTGTAGCCTAGAACCACAGATTATAAATGTCAGTGACGTGGAATGTGCTGTGGCCTGTGTTTTCTCTGAGTGTCCCTTTGTGGTATTGTTGTCCTTCTGGAAAGACTTCCTAACCGTAGAGAAAGACATAAGAGTTGTCATGTGTATATAGCATATGACTTCATAAAACATTCAATGTCAAAAAAAAAAAAAAAGCGGAGAGAATCTTTACAAACCCTGCAATTAGTTGTTTTAAAGTCACATTTACCTTTGGTTCTATCATTCCATGTTGCTAATATTTATTAGTTTTATAAATTATAGTAAGGTATAAAAACTCAGCTTGTAATTTTTTCATTTTTAAAATGAGAAAGTACCTAAATTTTGCATGAGGTTTTGCTAAGTGCTTGGGTACAACAGGGAGGTGGACACGGGATCAAGGGTTGAGGGTGAAGAACCCAGGCTGTGGGGCTGGCACTGCCCCTGTCTACCTTGGGTAACAAGGGAGGGGCCTGGGTTGCACGGTACCTGAGGTCTCCTCTGGCTGTGAACTACAAGACCGGTCACCCCTTAGTAAAGAGGTGTTGAGTGAATAAATGGATGAATGAGCTTATCAGTGTTTTTTAAGAGATCTGGAGGAATGACCAAGAATCTCTTTTTAGGTAAGACTGTATTTAACAGTTAAAAAAGAAGGGAACGATCCTTTTCTTTTGAACAAAATACAAGTTCAAGGTCTGTCCTGCCTGGCCTCTTGTGGCAGAAGGCTTGAAGAGGACCCATCTGGATGCATGCATGCACAGGTTTCCTCCCAGGGTTGGAGGCTCTTTGGGAGGGGTGGGGGGCGGAGTCACTTCCATAAATTATTTCTGAGGACATTTCCTTCAAGTAGAACCTTCTGTCCTCTTTCTCAATAAGGGGTTGCCAGAGCCAGCCGGGGTGCTCTCTGTGGAGGCGTGGGGCTCTTCCCCTGGCCCTGGGTGGTCCCTCCTTGTCCCCATCCCAGGAGAGCTTGTGTGGCAAGTGGGCACCTTCAGGGCTGGGCTGTATGGCACTGGTGGCTCATGTACCTGTTGACTTATTTATTTTTTAGCCGTAAATTTCCTTTAATATTTTCCTGTTGGCTTTTTAAATGTTTTGGTTATCCCCTTTTCCATATTCTAGCTAAAATCAAGATGGCAATGGAGTAGAATTATTTATAACATGGCTTATGATTCATCGCTACAAATAGAAAATATAACAAGTCCTGTTCACCCACCTCCCAACTAAATTCACACTTTTAAGTGTGTGTGTGTGTGTGTGTGTGTGTGTGTGTGTGCGTGCATGCACGTGCGTAGGGGGAGGGAGGGAAGAAGTGATGTAGAGGCTAAGTGTGTATAGTCCCTCACAGTCAGCTTTATAAAGGAGTTATAGTTCCACTCCATCCCTGAAAGAATGTTTTCTAAGACTGAGAAAACACATGGGAAACCAAGAGAAACAGTAACAAAAGTCAGTAATACACAGTTGTTACAATTGCTAAGGATAATCTCCTTAGAATAGTTTAGGATTTTTGTAATTCACATTTGCCAAATGTTATAGGTAAATGGCTTCTTTCTATCCCGTGGATTCACTTATTTTTTCATCTAACACATAATTCAGGAACAAGAGGAAGATATAGTGATTCATCTTATGCAACTTGTATTGTCACACAAAGTCCTGCTGTTTGAACGTTGCGTCTTCATAAGTTCAGGCTTTCCTCCCTCCTCAGGTAGATCTCCACATGCAGCTAGATAATTTCATACCCACTTGGCTAATCAGAGACAGGTGAGCTGAGAATACAGTAGTAGGCCTCAGCTGAGCAACTGCCCACCGACGAGTATTTATTGGACATTTATCACCGAGGACTATGTCGGAAGGAAGAGGAGACGTGGTCCCTGCTTTTGAACAGCATAGCACCTACTTCTGACATCAGAATCCCTACTAATGGTTGCTTCAGCGTCAGAGCCTCCAGTCTCAGGGAAAGCTCTGGGACTCAGTAACAGAAAAAGTAGTGTAGGGGATGAGAGACCTGGTTCCACCCTCTCTCTGGCACTTGCTCTGTTGGCCTTAGATGACTTCTTTGCTACTTTCATGTCCTCTGTATAAGAAGGGGGTTGGGATGTCAAATTTTATAGAAAAAAAATATAAGCTTCTGGGTCCCAGGTCATACCTGCTGGATCTGAGTCTTCATGAGTGGAGCTTAGGAAATTTGTTAGTAAAAGGCTCCACCAGGTGAGCCTGATGACCAGCCCGATTTGAAAACTACTGAACTAAAAGATCTCAAAAATATCTTTTATATGATTGTGTGATTGTGTAATGTTATCGCATTAATTACTTTACATAAATATGGGTAATTGGATGTTCATTACATTATCTGTGTTTACATAGGAATTTATATAAGGAATGCATTTGAGTATACATACCTCAACCCACTGTTTCCTAGAGGTTTTAGCAGCCTTTGGAACACACACAGCTCTTAAGAGGATATTTGATAATATTTACCTGGACATTTGTCTTCCATTTTCTTTCTCTGGGGGAAATTGAGGCTCACCCTGGGCACCAAAAAAGTGGAAAAACAAAACTGTTATGCAAAATTGAAGCATTATTTCATACTGTCTGCTACTTTATGATGAAAATTTTAACATCATTTGAGAAGATTTTTCTCGTGAAGTAAAATGTCCTTGTTATAGTAGGTGGAGTATATGTTTCAAATTAAAAATAAAATCTCCTTCTCTGGCAGTTAGTGATGTTAACAACACACCCACGATTCCCCTTCAATGAAAATAATACTTGAATCCCCCAAGGCGAGTGGGGGGAGTGGAGGAGGAGAATGTATGAAAATGGAAACCCGTGTGCGGAGGAGAGGGTGGAGGAAGAGGGCAGGTAAAGTCCTCACAGCGGATGTGGTGCGGGGTGTGGGGGGCTCCATGAAGGCAGGGTTTCCGTGTGTCCCCTGAGATCATGTCACTTGGCCAAGACCAGGCTCGTAGTGGTTGAGGCTTCCTGCAGGGAGTTTCCATGGCATTTGTCTATCCTTCCGGAAGTTTTATTGGAGGGAAAAGAGAAGAAAGGACTCTTCATCTTATTCTGCACGCTGGGGCAGCTGCAGGGTCTCTGTCGAGTCAGGGAGCAGTGCTGGACCCCTAACCAGCAAATGTGGCCAAAGAGTGGAAACGTGGAGAAGGAGCTATTCCTCCCTATCACAGTCAACGCCGGCATTTGCAGGAGGTCGCTTGGGAGCCCTGCTTGATTTCCTGACCCGCGTTGTTGGGCCATTTGTGTTTGACCATATGTCTCTCATTCTCTCATAGAGGTCCAGGCCTGGGTGGGGTTGGGGGGAAGAAAGGCCAGTTATGGGGAGGGTGGTCCTTCCAGGCACCACAAGCCTCAGATCTCTCTTGCAGTCTTAAACACTGTCCACTTTTGCTGTGTACTTTTTCTGGAGAGATTATGTTGGAGACTCCACTGTCTTTGGTTTTATTTTGTGAAATGGCCTGTAGTACTGTCAAAGTTTAATTCCACAAGAGTCTAGTGTCCTGTCACAAACATTCACTTTTTTTTTTCCCAATCCCATTTGAAACTTCCCAGGGAAGTTGTGGTTATTCACAAATTGGTATAAAGGAGCACATTTTGTACTGCATTTTACATATCTGGTATCTTGTTGAGTTTTTTTTTTTTTTTTTGGCCTGAAGAACATCCTGTATTTATGAAGATATTCTTTAAAAATAACACCCCATAAAATAACCCTTTACTATCAGATTGCTCTGATTTAGCCTTAATTTTGTTAAATTTTTTAGAGATGAATGAAGTGCTGCTGTGGAAAGAAATGTACTATATACTATTTCTGTATCATTAAAATTAAATTTTTATGGTTCCTTTTGCTTGATTTCTTTGGGGAAGAGTTTTGGCTTACAGGAAACCTAGGATTGAGTACAACTTCTTACGTTGTCACAGGTGCCAGGGAAGAAGGTACCTTTGTGGGAAAAGCCTTACCTGAAAGCACATACGTTTTGTCCAGCCTCTGCCATCATTACCAGCATTCTAGAAAACCTTGCAGAGTTCTGCTCTGGGTGATGTGCCATTGGCCTCTGGGTTACCTCCCAGTATCGTGGTTCCCTGTCGTTCCTTGAAGTAACTGGGCATTTCCAAGCTCTGGGCCTGGTTAAAGCACAGTTCTGCAAGTCTCTAAACCACTCCAACTAGAAGTTGCCCTCCTGTGCTCTATCGTCTCTAGACATGGGCACAAAGCTGTCGACTAGAATATTGTGTCCCAGTCCCCTACAACTGCCAGGGAGGTGGTTCAACACTTTGCTGTTCTGTATAATCCAGAGAAGTGATTACAGGATGTTACAAGGGCTGACACTTCATCTTCTTCTAGATACTGATACAACAAGTCTTCCTCAAGAACTACTTGGAGTTCAGGTCACTTTATGCCAAGGTAGGGAAGCCAGAGTGGTTTAAGCGATACTGGTGATAATAGTACATTCAAGGGGCGCCTGGGCGTGTGTGCCTATGGCTCAGGTCATGATCCCGGGGTCCTGGGATTGAGCTCAGCGGGGAGCCAGCTTCTCCCTGCCCCTCCCCACTGCTTGTGCTCTTTCTCAAATATAATCTTTTCAAAAAGTATATTCGAGAACCTTCTTGTTTCAAAAACCTACAGCTGAACCAACACATTGGTGATAAACATTGCTATTTTCAGACTCAAGGGTTTGTGTCCTTTCTCATAGATGCCATTCTTTGGGAGGCTTACGTTAATGTGGCAGTGAGGGTTTATGTTCTTGGGTCCACCTGTGGCTGGGGACCACCCAGTGAAAATGAGTCCTGGTCAGAGGAGAGCTGACCGGCTTGGCAGCAAAACCACCAGCCCATTCTAAGCCTCCCTTCCTGGGGCCAGGCTTGGTGTTCTTCTGACTCTCGGAGGCACGTCGTCCCCCATGAAAGCCTGCAGGGTGGGTGTACGGCCTAGAGCAACAGTCATCAATCCTGGCTGTTTGCTGAATTCAAGCACAGAGACTTCAGACATACAATGCCTGTGCCTGCCCAAGCTATTGGTATCTGCAGACAGGGCCAGGCAGGCATGTGGTATTTTTCGAAGCTCTTTGTCCAATGTGCAGCATGATTGGGAGCCACTTGTCAGGAGGAATGGAGTTTTTTTTGAGAGATGTAATCTTGTCATTCCCTGCTGGAACTTTCTGCTTTGGAGAAGACAGAGGATCATGGACTTGGACAAACTCCCAAACTCCCAAGGGGAAGTGGAAAATCTATTGTAGAGCTCCTGGCCTAGGCTCTTGAGAAAAGGCCTCGGGGACGTATGTTGGACATGTTTGGCAGGCAGGAGAAGAGCATTTGGAAGCAGAATGAATTTCACTGCTTTTGAAGAGGACTTGAATAGAGATACCAAAGGGCATGATGAAGATGCTCTTCTCCCCATTCAGGAAATATTCCAAATGGTGTGTAAACAGATGTTGTAAAACAAGAAGACCCACCAGTCTGATTGGGTAAGAAATAAGGGGAGTTCTCTGGAAGACACTCGGTTTTGCGGGGCAGCCATGATGCTGAACTGTGGACAATCACGCCTGTGTGAGTTGCCAGCTGTGGTGGACTGTTGTGCAATGCTGAATGTCAATGGAGGGGGAAGTAGTTCCTGAGGCCTAAGCAAAAAGTTCGATGAGTGAAGACTGATCTGGACAGCATGAACAGACTGGAATCCACCCAGTGGTGACCATCACAGATGCCCAACTAGATTTGCAGATTGTGTCCACTATTTGGACCTCACTGCTTTCCTAGGAGTTCATGCAGGCTCTTGAATTTCATGCATGAAACCATTCCCTTATCAATAACCCTCAAGTCTGTTTTAAATGCTGCCTTTTCCAAAGAAGTTTGTGGTAACACTCGGGGTTGAAGAGTCGAATTGGAAGGTGACTTTGCCTGGGGTGCATTCTAAGTCCTTGCCCCCAACCCCTCCCCACTTTGTGAGGTGTTGAATGGGACCTCGGAGGTCGAGGCTTGCAGGTGCCAGTCAGTGGCAGGCAGGGTCTTGCCAGCCTGTGGAATGAATGAGATCAGGCCCTGGACCATGATGAGTGGCTCCTTAGCTGCCCGTTCTAAATAGCTACAGAGAGGCAAAGCTGCTTCCTGGAGTGTGGCAAGGTGGGGTTATGATCTTGCCATCTATACATTTTAAGCCAGTGTGTGTTTTACTCTTTCTGGCCATCCTGCAAACGTTAGACTATTTAGTAGACGTTATTTCCAAACTGTGCCCGGTAGGTCTCCCCCTGTGGGCGGGTTGGGGTGCTGCAGGTGGAAAGATAAAGTGCAGTTCCAGCTTCCAGCTCAGAGGTCACTTCCTCAAAGAGGCCTTCTCTGCACACCACGATAGCTGGTGGTGTGCTGGTAAAAGTTTAACCACCAGCTCTCTGGGGAGAGGAAGAGCCGTGATCTGTAGCCTCTGCTGAATTTGTGGTGTAAATACTCTCACCATGCCCAATGGTGAGCCACCAGTGTGCCTTTGCTACAGGTGGATTTGAAAGAGATGCAAATATGATTGCACGTAAGTATGTGGTGTTTCCTTCGTGGGTATAGAGAGACATAAATACCTGAGCCCAGACCAAGGTCAGCTCCGCCTGTTTTTGGAAATACTGTATTGGAACACTGTCCTTTTTCATTCACATCACATATCTACGGCTGCTTTTGTGCTCTCGTGGCAGAGCTGAGTGGTTACTACAGAAACTGTCTGCCCCACTCAGCCTAAATTATTTACTGTCCAGTCCTTAACAGAAAAAGTTTGCTTAAAAAAAAAAAAAACAGTTTGCCTACCTACCCCCAGTATAGATAATTGTAAAATATAAGACAATCTGGAAGTGATGCATTTCAAATAGAACTTATTTAATCAAATTTAATGATAACTTTTAAATAGAACCTGTTAACTGTAAGCTTCCATAATTTAAGAATAGATGTGTTTAAGAACTGGCTCTCACAATTCTTGACAATGTAGCGATCGCCTCCTGAGAGTCCCGGGGTTACCAGTGACGTCACTGAAGATGCACCTGTGCGCACGGTGTGGGCCCCGCACTGTTCATTCACTCCAGGGCGCCTCTGGTGCGGGACCTCATGGTCAATTGTGGTCTCTTTGTGGTAGAAGCAGGGGCTTCCTCTAGGTCCCTTGGCTCCCTTTCCTTAGCACCTTGAACCTTGCCCAGCACAAAGTAGGTGCTCAAACATTTGCAGAATGAAAGAGGGAAAATTCTAGCCTTGAATGCATGGAAGCCACCTCATCACTTGTTGATGTGGCCAGAATTAGGTCACTGTCCCTTCATCTTTTGAGATAATGCAAGAGGTCCCGGCCTCTGGCTCCCCACATAATGTCTCTGCTGAGAAGTGGAGACCTCAGAGAACTTCCCTCATGAATCTCTTGAGATGAACCCAGGCACCCCCCCCCCGCCCCGCCCCGTGCTTAGCGCACCCTGGTGCTCAGCAGCCCCTGAGTGAATGGTCGCCCCCGCAGCGCGAGCAGTCGTGGTAGTATGTATAATGGTGACTTTGGGAGACAGGTTGCAAGCCTAAGCCACACGTCTCTCTCCACCTCGCTTCTCTCTCCCGATCGCGTTTTCAGGTCCCTCTCACGTCCTCAGGTTGCTTTTCCAGAGGGAGACTTGCCTGTGCAAACCTGTCCTCTTGGCGCAGCACCGCCATCCTGTGGTCGTAGTGGGTTGTGGCATCGACCCGGCTCCTCTGCGCAGCTCGCAGCCGCAGGCAGGCCCAGGTTTTGGGAAGCCGCAGGTGATTTTTGGAAGCCAATGCGGCAAGGAGTCAGGCCTACACGGCAGGTCCCAGATTACGTCCAGGAGGGTGCAGGCTTCGTCTGTGTCATTTCAGGACAGCTGGCCAGTGTGGGGCGTTGCTGCTTGTGCCTGTCCTCTCCAGCTCTCCCCGTCTCTCCGTCTCTCCGTCTACCTTGAGCTCTCAGGTGGATTTCTGCTTATTTCAAACGAGTTAGTGCCATCTCCTGGACGAAGGCTGTAAGGTCGGATGTGAGGTCTCCAGGATCTGCGGAGGAATGAATTACACACCCGTGGCTTTATGGGAAGAACGCGAGCAAATAATCGGATCTTGATGTCAAGCCCCTTAATTGTTGCACATTTCTCTCCTCACTAGAAACATTCTTCTAAGAGGGAAGGTGGTGCGGGGGAGACTCTTAGTGTGAGCCTAGTGGCTACTGTACTAAGGTTAGTACACCTACAATTGCCAGCGTCTCCGTGAAAACTGGTCACACTCTTATCAAATTTTCCTAAAGGGTGGGCTGCAGACCACCTGCATCTGGGTCGCCCGGGGCCTTAAGAAGGCAGGCTCAGAGTCGCCTGTGGCCCCAAACCGTACAGAACCATACAGATTCTCAGAGCCGGGCTCTGGAATCTGCATTTTGAGCACCTAACCCTTTTCTTCACCAAGTGAATCTTATATGCATTAAGTTTGAGAACCACTGCCCTAGACCCTGCCTTTGGAAAAAGACTTTTCTTTCATCAAAATCTGGAAAGAAAAAAAAAATCTGGAAAGAATTTGCGCTTGGATTAAAGCTTTAATCAGCCGCTATTTGTGCTAGGGAGAGCATGCATCTCTTACAGAGCCGCGGTTCCCACCTTCGCTCATCCTGTGTGGTGGATGGTTACAGACCCAAAGCCCCTGGGCCAGCGCCTGGCACGTCACAGGTGCTCACACCGACACTGCTGCCCCTGCCAGCCGCGTCTCGCCCACCCCCTCTCACTCCTGCTCTGCTCCGCAGGCGGGGAGAGGCCAGGCCGCACACCTGTACCCAGGCTCAGCACAGGGCTGTTGGAAAGATCCTGGCACTGGTCGTCACCACCTACCTGGGTGGCT